TTCTATGGAATATCTAGAGAACGCTATAGAATTTATTTCCAGATTTTATAGAATATAGATCTATAAAATCAAGATACATATCATATTGAATCAGGATATAGACTATGTAGATCAGAGTGTTAAATTTCTTAACAACAGCAGTACTGTATTTCTAGAATTGTTTTATTACCTTGTGTTTACTGACTTTGCAATATGGACAATAAATATAAATTACCCAGGTTTGTTATTTTGGAGTATCATGCTGTAGTGTGTCACGTCTTCTATGACAGCCAAGTAGTATCTTGCACCCAAGACAAACCTTACTAATCTTCACCCAAGACAAACCTTACTAATCTTCACCCAAGACAAACCTTACTAATCTTTGGAATATTCAGAGAAGGTTTTGCAGTACTGTTGGTTGTCTAAAGATCCCCTTTAGTGTGCATGCTGTTAGAAAGGCAGCTGGTGTTGGGAGAGAAAGCTGCTTTTATCCTTCTGTTGTCTCCAGCGATTCCATAAACTGCTCTAACAATTTCATTTTTTCATTTGTAGTATAGTTGCTAAGTGTTGCACAGGATGCAGTTTTTAATGCCCTGTGATAAAAGATAAAGTTCTCTGCTTTTATTTCATTAATGTCTTCCCCCTCATTTACTTTTTCTGTAAAATAGGGGTTCAGAGTTTGTTTCTCTAGTCTTTCTTCACTGTTACGTTTCTCTGCTTCTCTTTCAGTATGTTGAAGAAAACTTAGGTGTCATGTCAGTGGGATTCTTGCTTAGTAGTCCTGATGATGCTGTCATCTGGAGAGGACCAAAAAAGAATGGTATGTATTGAGTGTTTTCAACAGTAATTTACATACTTGAAAGGTTTCAAGTGTAGAAATATGTTTAGTCCTGTAGATAGGGTAGTTAGCTAAGACCCAGAACTTTAAAATACAGGAAGATACCTTTTTCTCTTCCACATTCTTCTCCTTTCCTGTAGGGCTGATCAAGCAGTTTCTGCGTGATGTGGACTGGGGTGAAGTGGATTACCTGATCGTGGACACACCCCCAGGAACATCGGATGAGCACCTGTCCATCGTGCAGTACCTGAGTGCCACCCGCATCGACGGTGCTGTCATCGTCACCACGCCCCAGGTGTGAGCCAAAGCCCACCAGGGACACATCGTGGCACTGGAAGGCAGTCCTTGGGTTCCAGGCTGTTGATTTCACAGAAATTGAAGGGTACAGCATCTCAGGGAAATGACTTTGTTGTGTTGCCCCTGCAGCTGGCTGGTCTGTGGGTTAGCTGGATGTCTCAGGGGAGCTGGATGGGGATCCACATGGCTCACTAAACCACAACAGCTCATCATCAAAAGCTGTTGAGACCGGTGTGGTGAAAGGAAATGCAGGGTGTCATTTCCTCCTTCAGAATCAGACTTAACACCATTGTGCATCTCACAACAGCTCACCAACAGCTTCATGTTCAGAAGAATGTTTGTTAGAAGCTCTGTTTTTAAGTGATAAGCTGTGCATTCTCTGACACCTGTGAAGTAGCCTGTCACCTCCAGGTGACCCACCAAAGTAGGCAGCTTTGTCATGTGCATTTTTAAAAGAGAAATCAGCCCCTGGAAAGCTGAAACTAAACATACACTCAGTTCAAACAGAGGTTTTCATGTCTGGTTTGGAACAGAACAGGAGATCAAACTAGCATGTGACATGAAGTATTTCTACAACAGCAGAAAGGATAACACATAAAGGAAGCAAAGTGTTGAGGACAATACCAGAGAGGTGGTGAAGGAGGAAGGGAACAGGAGAATGGATGAGGTGAGTCATATACGTGAAAACTCTGAGGAGAGAATAAGATATTTTAAATTTAATTGGAAAAAAGGTAACTAGTGTAAGCCTGGTGGTTCTTCTCTTCACTCTGTGGAGAATACCAAGGCTCCTTCTGTAAGATGAAAATATGAAAAAGTTGCATTTAAAGAAGATACGAGATGAACATAGGAGATAAAAAACACAAATATGTGTGAATGTTGACTAGAGTAGATTTCAAAACAGAACCACATCCAGTAGGCTTGAAGTGTTGTACCTGCTCTGTTGATAGAGCTCATAGCACAGGTTTGTGTTCCTAAAAATATTAAGGCAGCAATAATAATTCATTATTTATTAAGTAGCTCTAAGGAGGTAACTGCATGGATTCAGCATGAAGCAGTTGAAATACAAGTGTTTGCTGTTATTTGTAGGAAGTGTCACTTCAGGATGTTCGGAAGGAGATCAACTTCTGCCGCAAGGTGAAGCTGCCCATCATAGGTGTGGTGGAGAACATGAGTGGCTTTGTGTGTCCCAAGTGTAAGGTAAGGCTGCCTGTGTGTTACAGTGTTCTTTCCTTGGCATTGCTTGCATAGCAAACATTGCTCCAAAAATGCCCTTTTCTCAGAATTGCAGTATTTTAACTCTGATTTTCTTGTTGTCCCAGAATGAATCTCAGATCTTTCCCCCAACTACTGGTGGTGCAGAGAATATGTGCCAGAACCTGAGTGTTTCTCTTCTGGGTAAAGTGCCTCTGGATCCACAGATAGGTAAAGTCACTTACTGCACTGCACTTAAAGCAAGTTGTTCCTCCTATACTGATGTTACTGCTGCAAAACCCTGATATGGGCACTGATGTCTCTTAGCACTTTTAGATAGAATGCTTTTTTGAATCAAAAGTCACTGGAACTATGACTATAGCTTGGTGTAGAATGTGGGAAGTGCTGGGGTAATTTCCTTAATCAATTAAGATTACATGCTACATCTTTTCAGCTCTGTAATCATATCTGAAATACAACATGTTTTTCTCTTTGGTGTAGTCACCTGGAAATGCAAACTGAATGAAATAATAACCACTTCAAAGAAGAGTCTTTTGTAGATGTTAAGCATTGAAACCAGTGCTTTAACCTCACTGTTACTGGCACTGCCCAAATTCTCTTGTGGGTCATGAGGAGGTGTGGTTCTTTGCCCACTAACTTAACAATTAATACCTGAATTAATGACATCAAGGAACAGCTCAGTACTTCCAGCTGAAGGTTTCTGCTAGTACTAGTCCTCTGTCAAACTGTACACTGTATTTCTAGTCCTGTTACTGACTTCAGGGCTTCCTAAAAGGAATAGATGCAGGTGGCTGTTTGAAGAGGTGTAACTGGAACAGGATAGAGGCTAAAAAACAGAAAAACTCATCTTTTCCTGTTGCTTTGTTTCTGTGTTTTTTCTCTGTCCTTCAAGGAAAAAGTTGTGACAGTGGCCAGTCTTTCTTGGCTGAAGCACCCGAGTCTCCAGCTACATTGTCTTACAGGAATATCATTCAAAGTGAGTCTGAGAATCACTGTGCAAATGAATCCTCGGTTCTGAGCACTGCTGCACTATACAAAGGTGTTACACAGGATTCTGTAACTGTTCCACAAAGAATAAAATCAGGAGAGGGACTTAGCAATTCTGAAAGTAGCAGGTGCAAAGACCGTGTTTGCTTCTGGCCATCACTTCTGACTGGCTACTAAAGTGATAATGAAATTGTATGTGATAACTGGTTTCAACATTTGACTTCAGAGAAGTCAGACTTTCATTTTCAGAGATGGGGAGTCCTTGTGCTCAGAGAAACCTTCTGAGGCTCTCGAGCAGGTGTGGAGAGGTGCTCACCATAACCCAGTGGGAGGCAACTGACTGACCAATGCCTCCACTTCTAACTGTAATTACACAAAAACCCCTTGCAAAAACTCCCTAAACAGCTGGTGCTGTGCTGCTTAAAATAATCCTAAAACTATTTCAGTGTAAGGAAGGCCCAACTTCAGATACTTGTAACCACAGGGGAGAGATGCAGCAACAACACACTCCTGATATACAACTGAAATAGTCTTAAATTACTTTTTCTTCATCTTTGCAGGAATTCAGGAATATTGTGAACAACACCATTTGCAAGAAGAAAAGATAATGTAACCTGTAAGTGGAACAAAAATGTAGCTCATGTCTAATTATAGAAAAGTAACTTATGCCTTGATTTATTAAAGGAATGTATTCTTTTTGTATATTGCAAATAAATTCTTAATATAAAGGCTCTTGCCTATGTTTTTTCCAAAAGTTGAAGATTCTTGTAGTTCTTCCCTCACTAGAAAGCTGTGAAAATGAGTCTGCATCTGGATTATCAAGTGCATTCTGCCTCCAGTGTCATGGTACCAATAACCTGACTGTGAAGGTAGCAGTTGAAGAGGTGAGAATACAACCCACATTTTACTTAGGAGGTTGAATTTAAAATATGCTGAGGTGACACCGGGGCATGTGCAGCAGCCTTAGTTCTGCCTGCTGCACAAGGGTGAGCTGTAATGCCCCTTCCCTTTCCAGAATAACATCATTTAAATGTCTCCTTTCATTGGAAAAGATCTGTGTCCAGAGTGAAAGCCAGGGTAGTATTATAGTGCGTGTGCACTGCTTTATTTATTTTTTTACAGGTATCAAAACAAGATTAATTTTTTAGCTATACATAACTGTGTAGTTACACATATCTTCACCAAAGCAGTGGGTGAACATGGTTCATGACTTCTGTTTTATTCTATTTGGCCCTAAGCCTGAACATTAAAAGACAAGCATTCAGTATTTTTAATAACGAGGAGGTCCTTTGTGTTTGTAGTTTGAAAGCTCTGAAAAGTCAGTATTGTGTACAAGAGGGAAAGGCAGTTTGGATTTGTTTATTGCAGTTCCATAGTTAAACAAATCAGCATTGTATTTTCATTACATGTACTTTCTGGTTAAGATAATCCAACAGTTTGAGGTTAGTTGACAGCTTTTCTGAAAGCAGCGTGCTCCTTGTAAACCATGAGCACTGTCTGTGCTCACACAAACAACTTTTTGGTGAAGCTTTTAAGTAACAAAGGTGTTAAACCTTCCAGGATCTAAAGACTCAAACACAAATGACTTTATTTCATGCAGGCATAATTCTAGAAGAGCTTTATGTAAATATCTTCCCCTGAAGAACAACAACTTTCATTAATTACTTTTTTTACTGCTCATCCTTTAGCTCATCCTTTAGCTCTTCCTTATTTGGTTACCTAGTGCCTGTCTTCCCATGATCTTCAGTGCCATCTTCTGCAATTCTCCTGCTCTGTCCTGTTAAGGGAACAGAGCACACATGGCTATAAGCATAACCTGGGCCACAGGGATCTCTTATAAAAGCAGGGAGCTGCCAGCTGGAAGCCTGAAGGTTGAAGATGGCTCTTCCAGCTCTGCTTAAACTGAGGAATTCAAATTATAGCAACTCCACAGATTTAACTTAAGAACATTCTTTTGGAGCTTGGAAGCAGCTCAGTTGTGGAGCTCAGCAAGCTTCCAAACATGGAGCAAAGTGACCTGGGGTTATGGCTCTTCCATGTGACACTGCCAGAGAGGCTTGGTGGAGAATCAGGATTATCCTGGGCTCACTGCAGGAACTGGGACCCAGGAAAAGCCAGCCCTAGCCCTGAGAGGCAGGTTGGCTGTTCTATCCCATGGGCTGAAGCTCAGTACTCACTCTTGGGAACATCTGTGGTGCCAAACAACCTTGAGGTTACTCTGCTGATGGTTTTTGGTCCTCCTAACTTGCAGTGGATGTAGCCATATAGATTAGCAGTCTGGAGGGAGATCCCAGCAATCACGAGAGCCTGTGGACAAACAAGAGTTCAGGAGGAACAAACCCATGGCTGTGCACTGACTGTGTAGGATGTACACATGTGTGTGTGTGTGTGTGTGTGTGTGTACACTGTCCAGATTCATGTGCTGTAACAGGGGGACATTACTCCCAATCATAAATGGCCTTCAAAGACATCTAATCATGTCAAACACAATAATTCCTTTCTACAAATATTTATTTTTATCAAAACACCAATACCAGTTGTGTCATTCTGTATCTTGAAAGACTTCATTACTTTCCTAAAAGCACTTACTCAAAAAAGGACTACTCAACAGATTCCAGAAACATTTCACTTTTTTTAAGCCCCATTCAGATCTAAAAGTTCTACATCCAGATACATGGCACACCTGCAGGCTTGTTCAGCTGACAAACAACTTACTACAAACAAATAAGATCTGTAATTTATGGCTTTACAAAGAGCATCCATAGATAGATTCCCTACCTAGCATTGACAGGCAGTGAAAATAATCAGTTCCTTTTGTGGTACTTTAGGTTTAGCAGCAGGTGGAACCAATCTGACTAATGCAGTAATTTATAAAAATGTTTCTCTTAGCCTTCAGAGCCAGTTTCCCAGAAGTGATTTTATTTTTGTTTGAGTAATTTGCCTTTTACAAGCACCTGGGCAACCTGCCTCCTGTGCCCGTTAGAGTTGTCTCCAAGCAGCCCTTGGCTTAGCAAACAATCTCTGCTTTTCAAAAATAAAGGTGGAGCCATGAACAAAGAGTGCTGGTTTAACTATTGCTTGTTTAGGGGCACCAGAAAGCAGTTAATGATTTGCAATTGATTCATGCCCATAGCTGAATTTCTTGTTTAGTTGAATAATGAATATGCAATTTTGACTGTTACTGGTTATGTAGCTGCACATGTTAGAGGTGCTTTTTATCTTTTCAAACTGAGTTAGGAATTGGTACTGAGCATGGCTGGGAACTTGACAGAATGAATAATGTGGCAATTAGCCAAGCATTTAATGTTTACAGGGGAAAATGTGAAGATTTCATAGACAAAAATATCTTAATATAATGGAATATATGAGGTACATTTCCTCTCGTATTTAGAAAAAAAGTGTTGGGGTTTTTTTAAGTAGATGACTTATAAGTAGAGCAATTATAAAATACTTACTTATAGCTCAGTTTATCAAGGTTTTATGAGCTAATGATGCTGGTTCTTTCAAAAGGAAATGGTACCAGAGATCTAAATTCCTTACTTTTAAAAGTACATTTAAGTTCCCAGGAGACCTAAAAACCTGAAAACCAACATCACTGGTTCATTTTTTATCCTCTCCTGTTTTATTTGACTGAAATAAGTTGGGGCAGAGTAAGTTGCTACAGTTAAACAGCTCATAATTTTGCCCACCACTTGAGGTTCTCTAGAGGAAGGAGTTGACATCTGATAACCCAGTGGAAGTACAGCTAAAAATTCCCAATCCATTTCAGAGTGCAAGCCTTGACTGCAGAAAACTCCTCGGGATTCTTTGAAGCTGCTGGTGACATTTTTCTACTGCTGAAAGATTTGGTTCAAAACTAACAGATCTGGGTTTTCCCTCTACCAAGATTGTTTTCAGTACCCCCCTGACTCACCAGCCATTTCAGCTTCAAGGAGAACAAGGTGCTAAAGAAAAACATTGTCCAAATCACTGGGCAGATGATGAGACCAAGCCAGAAGATTCGGGCTTCAGCTTCAGTTGAGGCAGCTATTGTAGGCACCTGGAAGAAAAAATTGAGACTATTAGTCACAAAGTCAAAACCCACAATAAATGACAAATTACCAGAGGAGGAAGATTTCACTTATCATATGCACAGAAGATTAACTAAGAAGAGCAGTAGCTCATGCCCAGTTCCTTCCTGATGCCCTACTGTACACAGCATTTTCATCCACAGGGATTTATCAGTTGGTTCTAGTTCAGACAAGAAGTCTTATAAAAGTGCACATTTCTATACATTTTCATAAAAAGATGCTGTATCTTAGCTTAATTTATATCTTGCATGAAGCTTATTTTCCTATTATATAAATATTTGGTTTTGCTTCTGAACTCTGCTGCCATTCCATGAATGAAGAACCACAGCTTTGAAAATGCCTCTTGTGTCATGCTGGAGTTGAGCACACTGTAAGTGCAAGGGGCAGCCTTATGGCCTGTGCTCTGTTCTTCAGGGAGAGCAGAAACTTCAGAGCAGGCTGCAAAGCCCTGCTTACAGATTTCTTCAGGTCAGCACAAGTCACATATCCCTATCTACACTGAAGGGCTCATTGCGCTTAAGAAAAAGCAAAAAAAAACCCTTAAAGTAAGAGAATTGTTCAGAAGGCTCTGATCTTTCCAAAATTCAAATCTCACTCCAACCCTCAGACCAATTGATGACCACTAGTGCCAGCTTCTGAAACAGAAGCATCACAATTGGAAAAGAAAACCCTCTGGACTCTTCCACTCTGAAAAGAAAAGCTTTTTAGTTAATTTTCAGTATATTGAATTTTCCATGTATTCTGTCCTGCAGGGTTTCCTCTATTCTGTCTTCAGGCCTCCCTCAGTCTCACAGGAAGCACATCAATTAATTTGTCTTCCATGCTCGGGGCACCCCAGAGCCACAGCCGAGACTGCAGGGGGCACTGCAGAGGGCACTGCAGGGTGCAGAGGGCACTGCAAAAGATGCAGGGGGCACTACAGAGGGTGCACAGGGCACTGCACAGGGCACTGCAGGGTGCAGGGGGCACTGCACAGGGCACTGCACAGGGCACTGCAGAGGGTGCAGGGGGCACTGCACAGGGCACTGCAGGGGGCACTGCAGGGTGCAGGGGGCACTGCAGAGGGCACTGCAGGGGACAGCAGCAGCACAGCCAGCTGGGTTGGGGACACTGCTGGAGGGCTGCAGAGAATGTCCCTGTGAGCAGCCCCGGGGTGCTGCTCTGCCAGGCTCAGTGGGGCTGCAGGGACAATGTCAGCAAGTGAAAGCAAACTCCTGAGTCTTGACTCTGGCAGTGATGCCAAATGCCATCCTATTGTGCTTCTTTCCCCCTAACTCGTGTTTGGGGGGCATTGGCAGTATCAGAATGCTCTGTGATCCAGGTTCTCTTTCCCACCATATTCCATATTGAAGGTGGATAAAATATTAACTTCAAAATACTAAATCTGAACTATTCAGCATTGCTTTCCTCAAGAGGATTCTGTGTTGGGATTATCTATGGAAAGATGTGCTTATTACAAGATATTCTCACTAGAAAATAAAATAGAACTACCAGAAACATTTCATACCTATAGCACCATGCTATGAATATTTATTCTGCTGATCCATATGCTGACAATGTTGTGAGACCTGTTTTGTCCTGAATGCTTCCAGGATGTGACAAACAGTGCTCACACTTGAATACTGACATTGTTTTCTATGGAAGCTGGATAAAAAGTAACTGTTACAAAGGTACTCTATTTGTTACTTTGTTTGACTTGGTATCAGCTTTACAAATTTCCTATGGATTCTGTTTGCCTTGTGCCTGCTTCTATTAATATATTTACCCTTTTTGCTTCAAACACCCAGTGACTTTTTCCATCTTCATCAATCTGGTTCCACCAACGCAAACCAACCAAGAGTCTTCCTGTCACATTCTAGTGATGAAACCATTATTTGCATTAATCAGTAGCACAAGTCACTTGTCAGTATAACAGTTAAAATAGAAAAAATTTAAAAAGACAAGCATGTTCAAAAATCATCTTTTATCTAATACAAAAATTACTTCTAAAAGCTGTTCCAGCTGGAGTACAACAGCCATTAATGATGGGTGAAGTTACAAATTTAGAGGCCTCTTCTCTTTCAATATGATAATAAGCACAATAGCACTTACTTAGACAAGAAATTATAGATTGTATCTTTTTCAAGTCAATTATTGGGTGCTTGTTGGACAAGCACCCAATAAACAAATTTATTCAGCAAAAGAGGAATACTAGTAACAGAAACACACTGGAAAATGGGAGATTAATGACAAGCAAATAAGCTGTGTAGGATCAGGGAAACAAACCAAGAAAATATTTCAGCACCTGGATGAACCAGAAGCTTTCAGAATACTGGAAGTGCATCAATGTTCACTTCTACAAAACAAAAGCCTTGCTGAACACATGGAACCCCTGGATCCTGGGTTGGCCTGACCCACCTGCCTGCATGGGATCAGGGCACCAGAGCTACAGCTGGCATTCAGGAGTCTACTGCAGCCCCTGCTGTGGGGTGTGGGCACAAGGCTGCAGATGCTGACATTCTTGAGCATCCATTGCTGAAAGCCAGTATTACTTGAATTTTTTAATTTATTTTTTATGGGGGGAAGTATACAAACAAGTTACCTATGGCAAAGCAATTTTCTCGCCATATTAGTAGACCTTAGTAGTCAGCCATAGAAAACATGAGGCTAAATAACTAACATATGTGAACATCTTCATTAAAATGGGCCAGACACTGAATAAATCAACAGATTACAATATTTTTGTCACTTCTGTCATTATACATATTTCAATTTTGTTTTAATTAATGACAAAATACTTCCCAAGGTAATTACTATTCAGGGTCATCTTACCTTGACAGACCAAAAGTCAAAGGATAGAAGGAGGAGAATAGTGACAAAACAGGCAACAAAGCTGTTGCTGAACCAGTCACAGAACAAGTAGGTAACAATAGCACTCACTCGGAAAAACAGGTGGAAAAAGGTGGCCAGTGGGTGCCTAGAAGAAAGCCAGAGCATAAATGAGGTTATGGGACAGAGGGAATGTCACAGTGCTGGCTGACAATGTAGCACAGCACAGGTATCTCAAGTTTATAATGGTATTTTGGTTTGTAGCTGCTATTATTTCAGTGTTGGTGTATATCTTCATTATCAAACAATGGTATTTCCAATAGCCAAGCTTCAGCCTAAATCTAAAATACAAATGTGGTGTTCCTGTCAAAACTTTCTCAAAGACAGAACAAAATATGGAGCCCTTCACCAGATCCTTTGATCCTGTGTGAAGGAATTTAGTGGCTGTGTGCAACACAGTACCATAAAATCCTTGTTGTTTCATTAAATGAATCAACATTGCAAAGCAAAAAGAATTGAGAGAGCTCTTATGCCTTTCAGAACAGCTTTGAAAACAAAACATTAACTCTAAAAAAATTGTAGCTGTTTGCTATAAGACAAAATGAACTTTCATATTTAATGTCTAAACCCAACACTTCCTTTTAGACAGGCAGAATGATTTGGGAACCTAACGGTTCTTCTGAATTACTGCTTATTAATTTCACTAGTATTTACACTTTGCTCATTGAACAAATCTTTGTCTGTAACAAAATAAAGAGAAATTTCAGTGAAAGAAGTATGTGACATGGAATACTGGCCTGCACAGTAGGGAGGGGGGCTGGAGAAAGCTGTAATGAGCACAGCACAATTTTCAGGGTAATATGCCAAGTAAAAATTTTACTCTGTGCAATTGTTTGTGTTAATTAGTTGAAAGTGAGAATTAACTACAGGCTCTTGCAGTTAACTAACTTCTTCCTTGAAACTTAGAGAATAAAATATCTGAACGAGATATTTAAGTCAACAATTGTCTCCTTAAGCTCCTATGCCTCTGTGACCAATTAACAGTAGAATAGCCAATTAACAAAAGTATGGCCTAGGGTGTAATCAACTATTTAACTATTAAATGTTATTCTGTTATTGTGTTTAATAAAATGAGATACGTAATATATACACAATTGCTTACTATAAACTTACATTATAGCTATAGAAGAATAATAACTTTTATAACTTTAATATCCTTGTTGTTATATTATTTCTCTATAGCTGTTTAACTGTTCTGGTGTTTATCTTTCTCCAGTGGTAATACTGTGTTTGTAGTACTACACATATGACTGGGGAGGGAAGGATGATGCACAGGTGAAGTTTATATTTACTCCTGGTCATGCCCATGTGAACTTCAAACTTTCCAAAAACTTCTTCTGACTTAGAACTGAACATGTGACATTTTAAGCAAAGAGGCTTTTTCTGCCATAAGCAGCCAGGGGGGTGGAGTGGGTGTTGTGAACTGGCTAAAACAGACAGGGCCTTGCTGCTTCCAGCCTTGATCTTGGTCAGGAAGATGCAAGAGTCAATGATGGAATGGTGCCCTTGTGCCCAGAGCAGCTTTCATAGATCACAACCCCAAAGCACACCAGGGTTGCCTGAGCTTTTCTCATGGATCACTGCTTCAAATATGGCAGTAACTTTGGGGAATTCATGTTTCACTTTGGAAGGCAGATTCAGCAGTATGACTGGATTACAACAGGATTACTGTTTGGATGCTGAATTTGTTCCAATGTCAAACATTGAAGGGCATTTACTAAAAAACAAACAAAACAAAACCTATGAGCAAGAAGCTGTCATTTATTACAGTGCTGAGCACTTACTGAGACTCTGGAAAGGATAAAGGAAATGGCAACTCTACAATGGCTCAACTTGGCATAAATTTGCTCCTGACAGGACAGGAACCCACTTGCTTGGCCTTCTTGTTTTCCTGCTGCATCTGAACATCCATGTGATGCACAACTGGAGCCTCCAGGCTCAGTGATTGCCATTTACCTTGTTCTAAGAACCTCTGTTCAGTTTGGGAGCATGATGCCTGTTAGGACAGGAAGGAGCTGTAATCAATTTAGTTGCATCCCATGTTAAAGAATCAAATTTGGGTCAGGCCTAAGCTGTGCCAGTGAACTACAGGAGAATCATTCCAGGTGCCTGCTCAGGAGCACCACAGCAGAACTCTACATGCTGGCATTTTTTTTTCCCTCCTGTCTGATGCTTCAAAATGTATTGAGGCAAATTTTGAATAAATGAGCTCTCTTTTCTCCTCGATCACTGTGTTTCCTGACTGATTTGTAAAAGAAGCAATCATATGCTCCCTACTTCCAGATCTAAAGTCCTAGTACTTCAATCTTTATCCAATTTCTTAGGAAAGAGGAAGAATTTCCCAATTTCCAGAACTTATCTTTTCCCAATTTCTTAGGAAAGTAGCCACTAACCTTTTGCTTTTAAGGAGCCCTTTTGCACATAGCCTATGCTAATTTTAACCAAGTTCAAGATATATGAAATTGGAATAAAGACAAATGACTGGAACACCTTGTTATGCCCTCTAATATGATAACAAAATTTTGCAGCACCTAGGTGACTTCCAGGCTCATTTGCACAAGATTCTCCAGAAATATAAAAACAAACACATGTGAGCAGTGTAAGCAGTTTCAATTCTGCATTCTATAGCAGATGAATTTTCAGTACTACATCATCTTTCAATATTGTCTTGAGGGCCAGAAAGAAGAGCTGTCTCTAATGAAGCCACTGTCTGCACAAAGTGGATCACAGAATAGTACAGTTTGCTGATACTTTACCTGTGCTGTACTACTGATAGCATGAATCAGGAGAAATCTCTAAGATCTCTAGAGTAAAGTGCTGTGTGCTGTGACATCCTACAAACATTCCAGGGTGGTTTCACTTCATGCTAAATGTGGTCTGGTCCTTCAGAACCTGTGGCTCATGTGATCAAGGTACTTCTAAGCTGTACTTTCCAGCTTAGTTGAATCCTTGAAGCTATGTTCTCCAAGACTGCACCAAAATATAAACCTTCATTTAAAATGTGTGCTGTTGCTAAGGTGTAAAACCAAGGCAATTCTGGGAAGGTTAATCTTATGTCAGGGCTGACTCAAGTAGTGACAAAGTGCAAAGCACTGCTTCACCAGACACTTGTAAAAGTAATTATATTGTAAAGCTACATGATTGCTTTTTATCTCAGATAATGTTGTGTCAGGTTTAACATCTATTATATTTCTTTGCTTACACCTACAGGAAATATTATCATTGGAATGGACCAAACCCAACTGGGGCAAGGCAGAGAAAGCAATCTAAATCAAAGCTGATTATATACATTATTGATCAGTGCATGCCTAATTCCTTTTGACATAAAACTCTTCTTTTCACAGTCTTTGATTGGAGATTCTTCAAACGCCACTGATTGAACAGCTCTGTCACCTGGGACCTCCGTGTGGCCAGAGCTGCAGGGTGACACCTCTGGTGAGGAACCCAAGCTTAGCCTGACACATGAGATGGGTTAAGGGGTTGGGTTTCTCAGGTAATGTCTACAAGCATAAGACATTTCATATTCCACACAGCATCACATCCCGTGGTAGGAAATCATGACAGTTTTATTGCAGCTATCTGGCTGTTCAGCCAGGTGCCCACTGCAGTGCCTGAGCACTGCTGCACAGCGGGCTTTGCTGGAGCTGAGCAAAGCTGAGCACTGCTCCAGCTCTAACTAAAGCACTGTTTACTTGGGGTTTGGGATGTTGGGTGTGTCAGCTTTTCATTTCCAGTGACCGGGTGATGCCGGGCAGGAGGGCCCGGCCTCGCCTGCTCCAGCCCGAGCATCTCCCGGACAGAGGCCCCCCAGCCTCCCCGGGCAGCCTATTCCAGCGCTAGACCACCCTCCCTGTAAAAAATGGGAATGAAGTGTTTAAATGGAGTTCTCTGTACACCGGAACAGCCAGGGCCGCCCGGGCCCGGGCGCCGCGATGCTGCGGCCTCCGCGCCGTTACCTGATCCGCGCTTTCCGCAGCGCCAGCTCCTCCTCGCTCCCGAAATCCAGGGACACATCCTCGGTGTCGTCCACCAGCGCCTGCGGCGGGAGCCCGTCAGCGTGCAGGGCCCGGGGGAGCCGCGCCCCGCCCGCAGCGCCCGCCGCCCCTACCGCCCTTACCTGCTTCATCCCGGCCCGCGGCTCCAGGCCCGCAGCTGCCCCCGGGAAAAGGGGCCGGGCTCCGGCAGCCCTGCGCGCCTGGAGCGGGGCTGCCCCTCGGCACAGCCCGCGGCGGCTGCGCCTCACCGGGCACCGCCCGGGAGACCCCCGGGACAGCCGCTCCTCCCTGCGGCCCTGCCTCGAGGGGCCTGTGGCCGGGGCCACAGCGGCTGGGCGGGCTTTAGCAGCGTGAGGGACTATAGCAGCGTGAGGGGCCCCGGGAGCCCCGGCCGGCCGCCCCCGGCCCTCAGCGCGGTCAGCTGTCTGCCCCGCGGGTTCGCCACACGCACCGGCCGGGTCAGGGCCGCTGGGATCTCGTGCTGAATACAAGCCCTGAAAGGAAGAAGGAGTGAAGGGAAGGGTGAACGAAGGTGTATAAACATGAGAGCACAGCTGCGTGTCACGTTTGGCGCACACCCCCAGCCGGCCGGTGCTGTCCCCGCTGCCCGCGGCCCTGTGCCCCCTGTGTGGGGGCCAGCTTTGAGGGCAGGGGTGGCTCCACAGCACCGTGCATGTGCCTCAGGGTGGCTGAGGTCACTCGGCTCGTTCAGCCTGGAGGAGGCTGAGGGAACACCGCAGTGTGGTCTTCAGCATCCTCACAAGAGGAAGGAGACGGGCAGACACTGATCCTTTCTCTGTGGTGATCAGTGACAGGACCCGAGCGAATGGCCTGGACTTGTGTCAGGGGAGATTTAGTTTGGATATTAGGAAAAGGTTCTTCCTGCATAGGGTGGTTGGGCACTGAAGAGGCTTCCCAGGGCAGTGGTCACAGCACCAAGCCTGACAGAGCTCAAGAAGTGTTTGGACAAAGCTCTCAGGCTGACCTTGGGCTGTCCTACGGAGGGCCAAGAGTTGGACTCAATGATCCTTGTGGATCCCTTCTAACTCAGGAAGGAATCAGTGGTAAATATTTTTTTACGGTTCCGTGATAAATATTTTTTTCATGCCTTAATTTAAAATGCACGTGGATTATGCAGCAGACATAAAAGAAGTGAAACAAGACAACCAAACTTCAGGATAGGGGTAAGGGTTTCACAGTAATGGGGGGAAATAAACTGGACAGCTTAGTATGAAGTGGAGGGTCAAGGAAGATCTGATTAACCACAGCCACGTGTAGATCTGACTAGCTACTAGCATTAAATAAACCTGCAAAATGATATAACTTCCTAGTCTTTTCTAAAATATCTAACTAAACCAGGTTGTTGAGTAAGTACAGAAGTACTTACTACTGAGGTGAACTTTTCAAAAATATGAACTGGAAAGCAGCTTTGCACGAGACTTACTGGAACAAAGCAATACCTAATAGGTAAGAAAAACTGATACACTGTTCTTAGTAGATTATAATTGTAAAGCAGGAAAGGTATACTGACTAATGATGTTAATATTTTGATTGTCATATTTTGGCCTTGGTAGTGTTAAAACCACTTGTACAGTGTGCTAGTAAGTACTGTAGACTGCCACTAAAAAACTGAATAGGCACCTGCAATTTGAGGGGATGGCTCACGATAGCCTACAGTATTAAAAAACTGAAGTGGGCTTTCACTCTGCAAGGAGATATAAAGAGAGAACTCTCTTTGAGAGCTCTCATGAGATACAGTTATTAAATCCGTGCATACCTGAAGCTGACCCTGACTTCATTTCCTGTATCAGTGTGCACTTCTGCTTCCAAGCCATGAATTAACAGTAACTCAAACAGAGCTGGCTTCTGACTCAGAAGCAGCTCCCAGAAGTCACTGACAGAAGCCTCAGCCGTGCTGGGAGGTCTTGCATCCTCCTGCCTGCCAGATCATTGACCTCAGCTCCTGCAGCAGCTCCTCTTGCACCTCTCAGGGCAGTTCTGCCAGCAAATCTGATCCTTTGCATTTAGTAATTCTGTGATGTTGCTGTATTGTCCAAGCCATTTCATTTTCATTCTAAGGCAGCAGAAAATAACTGTGTCCTGTGTCCCTCTATCATGTAAAACAGCATCTCTATGGGAGAGAGGACAATTAGCCTGTCACAGCACTCAGTGTCTGATTTACTACACTGAATTCATGAGTGATGAAATAACTGAAAAAGAAGAAAAACCTGTGTTTTGTGTTTTGATTTTAAAACAGATAAATGTTTCCTCAGTTTTCCCTCCTTCCAGTGCCTATCTCCCCTGGCTCACTGTAGGGGTTATCTGTTCTCCTAACAAACTCTATTAGATAATCCCACAGGAGACTGTTGCTGTACCATGCAAATAGTTTTGGTAAATTCTCTAAGAATCTATATGAAATTGTGCTGTGTGATTATTCAAGGTATTGTATGGCTTATCATTTTCTTTTAGAACAAATTGAGAGCTAGAAAGAATTCTTTGTCTCTAGAGGAATCATTGGTCAAATGAATTTCTTTCTTTGGGGTTTGCTAGAAAAGAATTCTTCCTTGTTTTAAAATTAATGCATCCAAGTGAAAACTCATTAAAAGCTTCTGGTGTTTTTTAGGATTTTACAGAACAAACTGTCCTATTTTCAACACTTCTTCTGAGTTGTAGCTTAACTACAAATTGTTTGAACATTGGAAAGATTAGCAACACCCTAAAGATGATGTAAGTCCTCAAATACTGCTTCAGCAGCCCCAGATGAAGAGATCATTACACTGAATTTATGAATTGTAGTTTGGTTTTCAGGTTTTTGCACAGGAAAACCTAGACTATTTATGAAATATATTAAGATTTCATTTAATTGTTGACTGAAGTATATAGCATAAAATAGTTCAAAAATACATCACATGCTGCTGTGTCCTTGCCATTACCTTACAGGGAATTCCCTCCCCACAATAAATAGTGACATTTCTATTTTAGAACACTATCAGAGTCTTGATATGAATATCTGAAAAATCTCTCCCATTCTCTGGTTCAACAATAACTAGAGCTTCTTCCAAGATGAATATGGTGCTTTATTCACCCGCTTACCGGGAAGTCAGCTGATTGCTCTTTCTTCTTGGAACACTCCCTAGAACCTTGCAGAGACTTATCCAGGACTTCCCCTGTAAACTGCCTAAGGATATTGTGAATAACTTGACTGCTTTTGCTCTGGTTTAGGCCTTTCAATGGAGTTTGTAGTTTAGTATTCTGTTCCTCTGAATGTTGGAAAATGTTGTTCATCCAGTAATAACTCTTGCCTCACTTGCATTCATCAGAGAGACACTTAAAAGGTCTGTTGGTGCTTCAATAAAATGTTTATATTAGGGTGTGATAGGGCAAATCAGAGAAGGTACTAAATAGATAAATTTCTAAAAGCATCACTTTCTAATTCATTTGTCAAAGATAATTTCCTGCTTTGGCCCAGAACCAATTTCTATAGATTTTTTTGGCTGTACATACATGAATTGTTGAAACTGGCAGCTCAGTATTAACAGGGGAGAAGCCACAAGATTAACTTGAGGGATCAGGACAATTTCTTTTATATATAACAATACACTCTCAGTAGAGATCAAGTTCTGCCATCAGTAAGAAATGGGTAACAGAAAAATATGTCAAAGCTGAGGAAGTTTAGGCCCTAAATATAAATGGGGATTTAAAAAAATTATTGATCCCTCATTTAGTTATGCCAAAAAAGGTGAAAAATAATTTTTGAGTATGTGAAGAAAGGAGTATAAATTCCCATTATTGCACAGTAACTGGTTTTGATTCTAAGAAGTGCAGTAGCAGTTGTATTCCTTCCAGTTAGGGAAAAACCAGGGAAACATTACATATCCTATTAAATACCTTATTTTATTAAGCCTGTGTGGCTTTAAGGCCTTATTTAACTCATGCTGTAGAAATCTCTAGTGCAGTCACCCAGGAAATGAAAGGCTTTGAAATTATTAATGAGTTTACTTCAGTGTCATTTTCCTGCTTAGACTGTGAAACATCCAAACCAAGGGCACACCAAGGCAAAGTCACCAGCTCTCTTCCAGCCTGGGGGGCATTCCCAGCATTTGGATGCAGATTTTTCAATGTGTTCAGCTTTCTATATCTCCTGATGTATTCAAAGCTTCAGTCACTCTCAGCTGCACTTCTTGGTATTTGTTCATTTTGCAAGTCATCGTTCATGTCTCATATTGGGAACTCCAAAAATAAGGAACTTGGGCTGTCAAAAGTTTGGTTTAAACAACTTCATAGATCTGCTGCAGTAAGCAGAGCTTATCCCCTTCCATTTCCCAGGTCCATTTCCCAGAGTGGAAGTGATTTCATCAGAAAAGGTGCTTAGAGTCCCTTCCCTCCTTTGCTACATGAACTTAAAATACCTGTACACTCTCACACAAGTATCCAATAGCTCTCCTGCCTTAAACCTCTATAGTCTTACTGAGAAAAAATAATAACAATATCTTAATCTATTAAATAAAAGACCCTAATGGCTATCAAAAAATTGAGAAGCTTAGTACAATAGGAGGTTGATAAGAAATTGAGCACTGTTTCTTCTACTGGTTTATCTGCAGAAATAAAACTTAAGTTTGCTTATGAAAGCTCTAAGTTGCTTATTCATTAGATTTTTTACATGTTTCCTTTTTCTTTTTTCCCTGTGGCTGCTACTAGTACCTACACAGCCTTACTCAGCTCCCTGAGGATCTTGCTGGACAGTTTACAACCACTTTGACTGGCAATTTCCACTCCATCCTTTGTTGTGGAGCCTGTGACTAAGCAGCTCTTGCCATACTTGCTTGCACTTGTTTTTCTTGTTTGTTCTAAACTGACACAAATAAAGGGAATAACTTTATCAGAAAAAATTCAAAGAGAATATAGACAAAACACAAAGTAAGAAAGGGTTTCTAATCTGGTGATGCAATGAAATGAAAAACCTGTACCTACCATTGTTAATTCTGTGAATTTTTCTGTGAGCATGTGAATTTTTCTGAAGCAGCCTGTGATGCCTACTTCTATAGCATTATTGTTTAATAGTATATTTCCTAATTTATTAATACTTCTTTTTCTAGTTCACCAAATAGCTTCAGCTTCCTGGTATTCCTTGTACTCCTCAGTACACGGAGAACTTGAGGGGTTATCTGAGGTATTAAAATTCACAAAATCCATACTATTTCTGTAGGTTTGAATGGTGCAAAGAGGAGGAGGTGCTCTGGATTGGTCTGTAGGTCCCTAGATCCCCCAG